GGCACCTACAGCATTGTGTTGTTTGAGAAAATGATCTGCTCCCCAAACGCCTACTGAGAATTAAAGTAGAAGGCAAAGAATTAGAAGAAGAAGACAAAGAAGAAGAAGGAAAAAGAGGAAGATGAAGAAGGAGATGAAGACGAAGAAGAAGACAAAGAAGTAAGTAAGAAAGAAAGAAAGAAGAAAAGAGAAAGAAAGACAAAAGAAAGAAGAAAACAAAGAAGAAAAGAAGAGAAAGAAAGAAGAAGAAGACAAAGAAGAAAGAGAGAAAGAAGAAGAAGACAAAGAAGAAAGAGAGAAAGAAAGAAGAAAACAAAGAAGAAAGAGAGAAAGAAGAAGAAGACAAAGAAGAAAAGAGAAAGAGAAGATGAAAAAGAAGAAAGAGAGAAAGAGAAGATGAAAAAAAAAAGAGAAAGAAGATGAAGAAAGAAGGAAGAAGGAAGAGGGAAGAAAGGAAAAAGAAGAATGCATGCAGCAATATTTTGGGTGAGAGGACAACCTGATCACCAACCTTTTTTAACTTGTAACTGTATGTCTTTGTTACATTATTAAATTAAATAAAATAATGTACAAAAAAAGAGGAGAAAATACTTTTCTGAAGTTGATGGCAGGCCACCTGTGGAAACCATACCCAAGTAGAAGGCCAGAAGTATGACCACTAAGGACCAAAAGTGGAAGAATATTCTGAACAACACATGGAATCCAGCATTGTGTTGGTTGAGAGGATGATCTGCTCCACAAAAGCCAACTAAGAAGATGAAGAAGACCAAGGAGAAGAACAATACAAAGAAGAAGACGACAAAGAAGGAGAAGAAGACAAAAAAGAAGGAGAAGACAAAAGAGAAGAAGAAGAAGAAAAAGAAACAAGACGAAGAAAGGAGGAGAAGAAGAAGAAGAGAAAACAAAGGAGAAGAAACAAGACGAAGAAGAAGGTGAAGAAGAAGAAGACGACAACGAGGAAGATGAGGCAGAAGAAGAGAAAGAAGGAGAAGAAGACAAAAGAGAAGAAGAGGGAGAAAAAGAAGGAGAGGAAGGAGAACAAAACAAAGAAGGAGAAGAACAAGACGAAGAAGAAGGAGAAGAGGAAGATGAAGGAGAAGCTGAAGAAAAAGAAAACAAAGAAGGAGAAGAACAAGACGAAGAAGAAGGAAAGGAAGAAGATGACAATGAAGAAGATGAGGCAGAAGAAGACAAAGAAGGAGAAGACAAAAGAGAAGGAAAAAAAAAAGAAGGAGAAGAAGAAGCAGAAGAAAACAAAGAAGGAGAAGAATAAGACGAAGAAGTAGGAGAAGAAGAAGATGAAGAGAAGAAGAAGAAGAATAAAAAGAAAACAAAGAAGGAGAAGAACAAGACGAAGAAGAAGGAGAAGAAGAAGACAATGAAGGAGATGAGGCAGAAGTAGAAAAAAAAGGAGAAGACAAAAGAGAAGAAGGAGAAAAAAGGAGAAGAAGCAGAAAACAAAGAAGGAGAAGAACAAGACCAAGAAGAAGGAGAAGAAGAAGATGAAGGAGAAGAAGGAGAAGAACAAGACAAAGACGAAGGAGAAGAAGAAAATATGCAGGAGAAGAAAGAAGAAAAAGACAAAGATGAGGAAGAAAGAAGACACAGAACAATGCACACAGAAATGTTTTGGCTGAGAGGACAACCTGCTCACCAACCTTTTTTAACATGTAACTGTATGTCTTTATTACATTATTAAACTAAATATAAATAATTTACAAAACAATTCCTATAAAGAAGAGAAGATACTTTGCTGATGTTGATGGCCATCAGTCCATGGATGCCATACTCAAATAGATGACAATTTCTAGTATTTATTAAATTTCCTTCACTTCTATGGAAATTGATTGGGAATTAAAGAATTCTTATGTATCCAAAAGAATAAAAAATATAATACAGCAATGATTGTGAGAAGCAATACAGCCCTTCGGAGATGGACTGGAGCCAAATTATCAGTCTTAAGAGCCCATCTCCAAATATCACCTTTCCCCCCCCCCCCCCCCCCCCCCCCTACGCTGCGGTTTATTCCCGACATTCCTTTCTTGCTTCTAACCGAAGGAACAATATCAACGGAGACTTAAGCGTCAAAACTTTTCCCTGCTCTATAATTAGATATAAAATGATAACATTCCCCCAAAAAGCCTCCAGCAGGGAGAACGCTCAGACACAATGCATCCCATCGCCACCAATGGCCGCGGCTGGCGGGCACGCATATTTTAAAACCCACCGGAATTCTATAATTAAAACGCCGAGTTCTCCCTGTAAATACAATTGGAAAATTATCCGTAATTTCGAAAGCGAATCTCGGAACATCGAGTCCGCGTAACAAAAGTAAGAAGAAATAACATACCAGATTACACATTTTTTTTTTTTTTTCGGTGAATTGTAATCTTTCCAAATTATCTTTAATTAGTGGGAATGTTTTGTTTTTTTTTTTCTTTTTTTTATATGAAGCGGAATGTAAATGCTTGTATGTTACTGAGCGCATTGTGTAATTCTATAATCCCTTCATTTTCACAACTTGATAATAGGGTAGGAGCTTCGGAAGGCAAGCTTTCTCTGAGGGTGGTCTTACGGTGTATTTTTATGCATCGTGCTTAAAGCTGGACTCCAGCCTCCGCCTTCAGTCTCACACAGTTGTATCGGCTCCTCTCCTCCTGGACTGAAATGGCTTGCTCTGATTTCACTGCACGTCTCATTTCCTGGCTCCAAGCATCATCTAGCCCTTTCCTCCCCAGCCTGACTGTCCCTGAGCTGCCCATTTCCTGGCTGGAGGACGTCCAGCACCATTTAGCACTTTCCTCCCCAGCCTCCATTTCCTGGCTGGAGGACGTCCAGCATCATTTAGCTCTTTCCTTTCCAGCCTGACTGTCCCTGGCCCCAGCCCCTTCTTTCATTGGATTTCAGTTCTGTCAATCCTGAAGACTCAGCATCACAAGTAGGCGATACCTAGGGTGGTCTGTATGCCTAAGAACCCCCCTACTCCTCCAGAATTATATCCACCCATCATTTGCATAGCTCCTCCCAAGAGCCTGCCCACTGCTTGCTTTAGGACGTCCAGCATAATTTAGAGCTTTCCTCCCCAGCCTGACTGTCCCTGAGCTGCCCATTTCCTGGCTGGAAGACGTCCAGCACCATTTAGCACTTTCCTCCCCAGCCTCCATTTCCTGGCTGGAGGACGTCCAGCATCATTTAGTCCCAGGGGTGGACTGACCATTTGAGCACTCAGGCAGTGCCCGAGGGCCCAGGGTCAGTAGGGGGCCCCATGAAATGCCTCTGGTACCTTTTATAGGCTTTTTTGGGTGTGCTTTGAGTGTGGGCAAGGACACAGGGGCCCCATGAGTTGTCAGTCCGCCCCTGTTTCGTCCAGCATCATTTAGTTCTTTCCTCCCCAGCCTGACTGTCCCTGGGCTGCCCATTTCCTGGCTGGAGGACGTCCAGCATCATTTAGCACTTTCCTCCATAGCCTGACTCTCCCTGAGCTGCCCATTTCCTGGCTGGAGGATGTCCAGCATCATTTAGTACTTTCCTCCCCAGCCTCCATTTCCTGGCTGGAGGACGTCCAGCATCATTTAGCCCTTTCCTTTCCAGTCTGACTGTCCCTGGCCCCAGCCCCTTCTTTCATTGGATTTCAGTTCTGTCAATCCTGAAGACTCAGCATCACAAGTAGGCAATACCTAGGGTGGTCTGTATGCCTAAGAACCCCACACTCCTCCAGAATGACATCCACCCATCATTTGCATAGATCCTCCCAAGAGCCTGCCCACTTCTTGCTTTAGGACTTCCAGCATAATTTGGCTATTTCCTCCCCAGCCTGACTGTCCCTGAGCTGCCCATTTCCTGGCTGGAGGGCGTCCAGCATCATTTAGCTCTTTCCTTCCCAGTCTGACTGTCCCTGGCACCAGCTTCTTCATTCATTGGATTTCAGTTCTGTCAATCCTTAAGACTCAGCATCACAAGTAGGAGATACCTAGGGTGGTCTATATGCCTAAGAACCAGGGGCGGACTGACCATTTGGAAACTTGGGCACTGCCCGAGGGCCCGGGGTCAGTAGGGGGCCCCATGAGATGCCCCAGTACCTTTTTCATAGGCTTTTTTGAGTTTGGGCAAGGACACAGGGGCCCCATGATCCCCTATTGCCTGGGGGCCCCATGAGTTGTCAGTCCGCCCCTGCTATGAACCCCCCACTCCTCCAGAAGGACATCCACCCATCATTTGCATAGCTCCTCCCAAGATCCTGCCCACTGCTTGCATTAAGGCTGAGGGCTCTTTAGAGAAGTACCGAGGCAGACTGCTATGATGTTTTCAGGAAGCTATGCACAGCCCCTCCCACCAGCATTGATCTCCCTGCATTGCATAGAGAAGCACAGAGACCATTTCCGTCCTTTATTTCTTAACCCAGCATCACTGGGCAGCCAATCTTTGTTCCCGATCATAATCCCACCGGCTCCCATTCAGGTGACCACTATAACACCCAATCACAGCAGTCACAATCTTTTGGTGCTTTTTAAAAGGACGTTGGGGCAGGCAAAGGGGCGAAGGGGTTAAAGAGTATCTAAACCAGCTTACCGTTACTTAGATGTGGTGGCTGCATTCGTTTTCTTTTTTCAGACTTTTCCCCCATGGAAGAAAAATATATTTGAAATATATTTTTTAAATATTCTTCTCAAATATAGTGACATATACAGTTAGCTCCATATATATTTGGACACAGGAACGATTTCAGGTATTGACCAAAACATATTCAAGCTCTAGTTATATGATGGATATGGGCTGAAAGTGCACACTCTCAGGTTTAATTTGAGGGTAAGTACATCCAAATTGGAGGAACGGTTTAGGAATTACAGCTCTTAAGAGTAGCCACCCCCCCCCCCCCTTTTTCATGGGACCAAAAGTAATTGGACAATTGAATCAAAAGCTGTTTCATGGCCAGGTGTGGGCTACTCCTTCATTATTTCTTCATCAATTAAGCAGGTAAAAGGTCTGGAGTTGATTCTAAGTGTGGGATGCAAGTGAAACAGGCCATTGTAAGGAATCATCAGAGAGATTGCATCAATATTAGGAGTGGCCAAATCAACAGTTTGGTACATTCTGAGGAAAGAAGAACACACTGGTGAGCTCAGCAACATAAAAAGGCATGGACGTCCATGTAAGACAACAGTGGTGGACAGGGGCGGACTGACCATTTGGAAACTCGGGCACTGCCCGAGGGGCCCGGGGTCAGTAGGGGGCCCCATGAGATGCCCCTGGTACCTTTTTCATAAGCTTTTTTGAGTTTGGGCAAGGACACAGGGGCCCCATGATCCCCTATTGCCCGGGGGCCCCATGAGTTGTCAGTCCGCCCCCTGGTGGTGGATGATCGCAGGTTCCTCTCTATGGCAAAGAAAAACCCATTCACAACATCCAGACAAGTGAAGGACACTCTCCAGGAGGTGGGCGTATCATTGTCAAAGTCTACAATCAAGAGAAGACTTTACGAGAGCAAATACAGAGGGTTCACCACAAGGTGCAAACCATTCATAAGCCTGAAGAATAGAAAAGTCAGATTAGACTTTGCCAAAAAAAAAATCTAAAAAAGCCAGACAGTTTCTGGAAAAGCATTCTTTGGACAGATGAATCCAAGATGAATCTGTACCAGAATGATGGGAAGAAAAAAGTGTGGAGAAGGTTTGGAACAGCTCATGATCCAAAGCACACATCATCTGTAAAACATGGAGGCAGTGTGATGGCATGGGCATGCATGGCTTCCAGTGGCACTGGGTCATTGGTGTTTATTGATGATGTGACAGAAGACAGAAGCAGCCGGATGAATCTGCAATGTTTACAGATATACTGTCAGCCCAGATTCAGCCAAATGCAGCAAAGGTGATTGGACAGCGCTTCACAGTACAGATGGACAATGATCCAAAACACACTGCAAAAGCAACCCAGGAGCTTTTGAAGGAAAAGAAGTGGAATATTCTGCAATGGCCGAGTCAATCATCTGATCTCAACCCAAATGAGCATGAATTTCACTTGCTGAAGGAAAAACTAAAGGCAGAAAGACACACAAAGAACTGAAGACAGCTGCAGTTAGAGCCTGGCAAAGCATCAGAAAGGAGGAAACCCAGTCTTTGGTCATGTCCATGGGTTCCAGACTTCAGGCAAAGCATCAGAAAGGAGGAAACCCAGTCTTTGGTCATGAACAAGGGTTCCAGACTTCAGGCAAAGGAAAAAAGAAAGGAGGAAACCCAGTCTTGGGTAATGTCCATGGGTTCCAGACTTCAGGCACAGCATTAGAAAGGAGGAAAGCCAGTCTTGGGTAATGTTTGGTAATGAAAGCCCATGAGTTCCAGACTTGAGGCAAAGCATCAGAAAGGAGGAAACCCAGTCTTGGGTAATGTCCATGGGTTCCAGACTTCAGACAGTCATTGCCAGTAAAGGATTCTCAACAAGATATTAAAAATGAACATTTTATTTATGATTATATTCAATTGTCCAATTACGTTTGCTCCCTTGAAAAAAGGGGGGGGGGTGGCTACTCTAAACAGCTGTAATTCCTAAACCCTTCCTCCAATTCGGATTGTATCCAAATATATATGGCCCTAACTGTATTTGAAATGCTACAATTTTGGCCGAATTCAATATATTTCAAAATATATGTCAATAAATAATATATATATATATATATATACTTTATGTTGAAATGCATTTTTATTACAAAATATATGAAAAATATTTTAAAAAATACATTTCAAATATACTGTATGTCTTTAAAAATCTGAAGATTATATTTAAAAATATATATTTTTTTAAATATATTCTTCAGATTTTTTTTTTTAAACAAATAAAAGTCATTTTAACCTACATTTTGACATATTTGTAAATGCATTCCAAAAATGTAGATTTGTATTTTTAAAGACATACGATATATTTGAAATGTATTTTTAAAAATATTTTTCATATATTTTGTAATAAAAAACGCATTTCAACATAAAGTATATATAATATTTTTCATAGGCGCTGCGCAAACTGTTTGCACTCTATAAATCCTGTATAATAATAATAATAATATATTTTGTAATAAAAACGCATTTCAACATATATATATATATATATATATATATATATACTATATATATATATATATATATATATATATATTTATTGAAATGTATTTTGAAATATATTGAATATGACCAAAATTGTAGCATTTCAAATATATGTCAATATATTTGGGAAGAATATTTTTTAAATATATTTCAAATATATTTTCCTTCCATATGGGTTGTTTCACCTGGTGATCCTGCCAGCTAACCCACTTTCTGTCCTAGGGTGACAACGCTCACTCACCCTACTCTATCAGGACAACAGAACCTCCCCCTCCCCCTCTCCTCTATACCATAGATGGGTGGCTGCGTTTGTTTTTTTCTCCTTTATTTTGTACCTGGGGAATCCTTAATAACAAATTTCTTGTTCCTGAGTGACTACACTCACTCATCCACTATATTTATGGAGGGAGCCGTGGTCACCCAGGCTGGACTACAAACATTTCTGCCTTTGTTCATCTCCATTACAGTTTACAGAAGAAAGATGACATTGATTTTTGCTTCTTGTTCACCTCAGGAGAAGTGAAAAGGATGCAGCATTTCTGGCAGGATCAACAACAGGTACTTTCTGAACATGCCGCTAGCTTGAAAGAAAAGAAAACTATTGCAGCCACCACATTTAAGGCATGCTATGCTGAAATATATTCAAATTTTGTTCTTGGGTTTAGTTTTACTGTGGAAGCTGTGCCCCAAAAAATGAATGGCCACCAGTATTGCCTTGCGCCCCTGTGCAGCTGATCTTTCTGCCATTAGTGGCTTACCATGCCTTTTGTCTCCATGTTGGATTGGCCATGTTGGTAGAGGCAGGGCTTTGCTTCCTTATATCGGAACCTCCAGCAAGGAGAACCAAATCTCACTCCAAATCTCCTGGAATGAGCAGTCAGAGGCAGCAGCTCCTAGGACTTTGCTTCCTTATGTCGGAACCTCCAGCAAGGAGAACCAAATCTCACTCCAAATCTCCTGGAATGAGCAGTCAGAGACAGCAGCTCCTAGGGCTTTGCTTCCTTATGTCGGAAACCTCCAGCAAGGAGAACCAAATCTCACTCCAAATCTCCTGGAATGAGCAGTCAGAGGCAGCAGCTCCTAGGGCTTTGCTTCCTTATGTCGGAACCTCCAGCAAGGAGAACCAAATCTCACTCCAAATCTCCTGGAATGAGCAGTCAGAGGCAGCAGCTCCTAGGGCTTTGCTTCCTTATGTCGGAACCTCCAGCAAGGAGAACCAAATCTCACTCCAAATCTCCTGGGATGAGCAGTCAGAGGCAGTAGTTCCTTAGATGATCTCATTCTACAGATATCCAGCTATGAGCATACAGAACGGATTTTCTTAGGCACAGGTCCAGAGAATTAATAAAGTAGAAGCAGGGAGCTCCTTGCACTGCAGATCCTCAGGTGCAGCTTCATCTCCAGCAAGGAGAACAATGAGCAGAACAGTAGTGAAGTCACCAAATCTCATTCAAAATCTCCTTAGGCTAGCAGTCAGAGGCAGCAGTGCCTTAGATGATTTTACACTGCAGATATTCAGCTATGAGTCTACAGAACATTTGTGCCTAGACGTGCCCACATTTCAGGAAGTGCACTCCTATTTTTCAGGAGGAATTTAACCATTTGCCGACTGCCCATAGCAGATGTACTGCTTCAGGGTGGCTGGGCTGTGCAAAATCATATATATAAACGTTACTGCACTTCCTGGTCGTGGGTGCATGCATGCTGGCTAGTGGATGATATCTATCTACTGTATATATATATATATATATATACATACACACACTATATTGCCAAAAGTATTGCCCCCCCCCCTTCCAAATCATGTGATTCAGGGGTTCCAATCCCCTCCATGGCCACAGGTGTGTAAAATCAAGCCCTAGGCATGCAGACTGCTTCTACAAACATTGGTGAAAGAATGGGTCGCTCTCAGGAGCTCAGTGACTCCAAGCGTGGTTCCGTGATAGGTTGTCACCTGTGCAATAAGTCCATCCGTGACATTTCCTGGCTACTAAATATTCCACGCTCAACTGTTAGTGGGATTATAACAAAGTGGAAGCAACTGGGAACAACAGCAACTCAGCCACCAAGTGGTAGGCCACGTCACATGACAGAGCTGGGGTCAGCGCATGCACAGTGCGCAGAAGTCGCCTACTGTCTGCAGAGTCAATAGCTAAAGACCTTCAAACTTGGTGTGGCCTTCAGATTAGCCCAACAACAGTGCGTAGAGAGCTTCATGGAATGGGTTTCCATGGCTGAGCAGCTGCATCCAAGCCTTAAATCACCAAGTGCAATGCAAAGCATCGGATGCCGTGGTGTAAAAGCACGCTGCCACTGAACTCAGAGCAGTGGAGATGTTTTCTCTGGAGTGACAAATCACACTTTTCTGTCTGGCAATGCGATGGACGTGTCTGGGTTTGGGGGTGGCCAGGAGAACGGTACTTGCCTGACTGACAAGTGTAAAGTTTGGTGGAGGGGGGGGGATTATGGTGTGGGGTTGTTTTTCAGGGGTTGGGCTTGGCCCCCTAGTTCCAGAGAAGGGAACTCTTAAGGCGACATTTTGGACAATTTCATGCCCCCAACTTTGTGGGAAGAGTTTGGGGATGGCCCCTTCCTGTTCCAACATGACTGCGTACCAGTGCACAAAGCAAGGTCCATAAAGACATGGAGGAGCCAGTTTGGGGTGGAGGAACTTGACTGGCCTGCACAGAGTCCTGACCATAATCAGGTGAACATACTGAAAAAAAAAAAAAAGCATGAATAAAAGAAAATGAATGCAGCCATCACATCTAAGGACTGGTAAGCCACAATATATAACATTATTGTTAAAGAGATTAGATCTGATTTAAGCTTCTTCTCTTGCTTGTCTGTTATATTACAGTTTCAGTAAACTTCTCAAGCCAAACTTTTATTTTTTTTAATGCAACAGTGCCACCAAGTGGAAAAATACAATAACTGCAAGTTATCTTTAAAAAAAAAAAAAAAAAAAAAAAAAATGATAAAAAAATAATATTCATAATAATAAGAAATGTTCTGTAATTACCAGAAATAGTGCACAGAAGTTTTGTGAGGTTTATATACTAAATAATAAATACAATTAATAAATAATAATAATAATAACTAATATTCATAATAACAAGAAATGTTCTGTAATTACCAGAAATAGTGCACAGAAGTTTTGTG